GATATGTATTTTATATATTATAAAAAATTGTGTAATTTTTTACAATTTCATCGACCGCCATCTCCAATATATCCGTGATATAAAGATCCTGTTTATATAATATGTACATGTATGGTCACTATAACACACGACTTCGTCCTCCTTAATGCCAAAAAAAAGTTCTAGCTTCAAGAATTACGATTTCCATATAAACTTTTATTACCCCTTTCAACCCCTCACAATTTATTTCGAATTATAAAACCTATATCCATTCTCAGGGTCTAGGCTACCTATGTACCAAATTACATTTAAATCGGTTCAGTAGGTTTAGTGTGAAAGCGAGACAGACAGACAGAGTTACTTTCGCAATTATAATATTAAGTAAGGATATAAATGACAAGCTGAATCTCGCGAATTTATTATTATTATTTCATTTATTTCAGATATTGATCCATCCATATTATTTATAAACAACTTATTAACTATTTAGTAATTTACAATTATTAAAAATATATTTAATTCATATATTTAATGTCTCTGTCCATAATAAACAATGCAGCGATATACCCCTGAATGGACATCCGTGGATATCACATTGTGTTAGTCACAAAGAATGTTATACAGCCATCTACCTATCTTCATAAAGTCACGTTTATTATATCAATAATATTATATTTTGTAGATCATTATTAGATTATTAAAAATATAAGTATAGTAAAATAATTTAATTCAGAGTAACACGTAATAAACAAGTGCAGATACCCACTGAGTCATCTGTGTACATCACATTGTGTGAATCACAAACAAAAGATAGTTTAAAAATCATGATGGTGAAATTAGTTAATGCGATACGATTCACAAAGTGATTAAAAAATAGTTGGGTTCAGAATAGAATAGAAGATTAGAAAATTATCCAAATAAACTTAATTTTAACCACTTTTGAATAGTCATAACAAAATTATTTTTTTAATCTACCACTCATTCGGAAAGCTGTCTCATCACAAGAGTTTATTTTTTTAATTCGGTTACATCTTTAAACTATGACTATTTTTATGAGCTATAACATTAAATCTGTAACTGAAATATTATCTGATTACATTAATAATGTGTGCTGTTCTTTATTATCCATCTCTTACTTGTTCAATCCTGTAATTATTTATATGAAGTTATATTCTCTTAAATAGTATGCAACACACGTTTCTACATTCTTCAACGATTCCGAATGAGTGGTAGAATCAAAATATGACTATTCAAAAGTGCTTGTAATGAGTTTATTTGAATAAAGATTATTTCTATTTCTATTAATATGGAATGAAAAGTATATTAATATTAATTACAACTTACTTATTGTGGATGATGCAAGTGTTGTAACAAAACATCTTCTCTAACTCCCTCCTACACCTATTATGTTCAAAACAATAATAATAATTATTTCTTTTATAGTTGTCATTGTTTGGTGATTTTCATCCGCAATGACAAGTTTAACACCCCATCAAAGGGAAATATATAAAATATGTACATAAACAATAATAACTTGAACACAATATACACAGCGCCATCGAAACCCAAGCTAAGCAGAACTCGTGTTATGTGTACTAGACAAGTGATATAAATACTTAAAAACATTTTAGTAATACATTCATAATATATATAGAAAACATACTGACCGTTACAATCATACTCAATACGCAAACGTTTGCATCGTGCATGAAATTGAACCCATAACCATCGGATGAAAAGCGGCGTGCTGAACCGTTAAACCACCGAGGCCGTCAAATGATAGATGGCGAAACATATTCGATAGAATAATCATTACATGTCCGTCCCTAAGTATGCTTAAATCTTTAAAACTACGCAACGGATTTTGAAGCGGTTTTTTTAGTATATAGAGTGATTCAAGAGGGATGTTTATATATATAATACATATACACCCGTGCGAGGCCAGGGCAAGTAGCTAGTTGTGAAAATAAATTAGACATTTATATAGAGAATGTTTCCAGCAAACATTTTTTTATTTAATTCCGTTCCATTCAATAGTGTAAATTTTGTAAATTGTTTATTTTACTCATTGTCGAAATTACATGTTATTCAAATTCAAAATATCTTTATTCTTGTAGGTCTGTTACAGGCTCTTATGATATGTCAAATCTACCGTCAGTTCGAAATGATTTCGGGATGAGAAGAACTGACAAGAAACTCAGCTCGTATTCTTTTCAAATTATATATATATATTTACAATAATGCAGATTAATTTTTAAATTCAAATTTGGGAGAATAGAGTGACCACCAGCATACGCTATTGCAAAAGCAAATAGTCTAATCAGTGTTCGCAACCCAAACAGACTAGTCCCCACAAGTTATATTTAGAATATAACAGCAGCATTTTTATCTCAAGAATAGTATAATGTGATTAGATTAATAAATGTATTACGCTTATAGGCCTCGCCTTAATAAAGAACATGACTAAATATTCATTTCAAATCATTTCCTGGAATACGCTAGTTATCTGGAAAGTAGTTTTGGAAAATCCATTGAGAAGTATCTGTTTCTATTTATGCCTTCAATTACTAGAGGCGTCCTGAGGCAGACTGCGGGATATTGCTGGCAGCTTGTCCATCAATGTTTTTATAATTATATGCTTTTGTGGCCAATCTATGAACATCCAGCGGGTTCACCATTGCTTAGGCCCTTCTTTTCTCCTGTATTTGATTTCTTTTTTTATATTATCGTTTATTTAATCGAGTATATATACATATAAATAAAATTGGAGTGTCTGTTTGTAATATTGAAATAACCGTTTTATACTACATGTTTTCTAAAATAAAAGTAGCCTAAGTTACTCCTTATTACATCAGCTACCTGTCAAAAAAGTTTCATCAAAATCGGTCCAACCAATTCAGAGATTAGCCGCAACAAACAGACAGAGAGACAAACATCGTAAAAATGTTATTTTGCTGTATGTACAGTATTGAATATAAATACTGTACATACACCAAAATTACATTTTTTACTATTTATATATGATAGCTGATGTAATAAGGAGTAACACAGACTACTTTTATTTCAGAAAAATAAACTTAAATTCCACGCGGACGAAGTCACGGGTACAGGTAGTAATAATTATCCAGCTGTAAATAAAGCTAGAATACTCATTTATAACTGCCATGACTGACTCATCATTTTAGTGCCACCTCCCTCTTTCTAGTGCTGCGGCTACTCCCAGTGTTGCCAGTATTAAAAACAGCATACTATTAATCCCACTTACAAAACACAAGCTAGCATAAATGTTAACTAACATAATACATCCATTGGTAGATGCAGTTATTTCTGGCAGTTACAGTGCAGTGGGCCGGTGTGCGGTTATAATGCTCTAAATATATATGAAGTTTACTTATAAGAAGGATATTAGATATTTACAAAACATTAAAATATAGAATCTTATATTACGTAAATATTTTCTGCACTGTGCTGGTAGAAAAGTCTGCTAAATTCTCCTTTGTATTGTGTGCATTAAAGTCAAATAAATAAATAATATAATTAATTTTTACCTAAACAATTATTTAGTCCAAGCAATAGAACAACTTTTACACAACAATTCTTATAACTATACATATAAACATTCCTCTTGAATCACTCTATCTATTAAAAAAACCGCTTCAAAATCCGTTGCGTAGTTTTAAAGATTTAAGCATGCATAGGGACGGACAGACAGCGACAGCGACTTTGTTTTATACTATATAATGGTTAATCACATATATTAAAAAAACAATTTCTCTAATAAATAAACTTTTGGTATAGATATAGTTAGATCGAGCTACTAGGAATACATAGAGTGGAAGGGGGTCGTTTGTAATGTGGATTGTTTACCCTATTGCTAGCAAGGTACCATGTCGGCTTGACTTTCAGTGGTTTCCCTGGAAACCATCATGACAAATTCCTGGTGAATATATCATGATGGACTAAGTGACCTGACCTCATGGGTGTACCGTACCATTATATCATATGTTAGGTATATCTGGGGCCACAATAGTTAATTAGAATAGTAACCAACATTCACAAAATGAGATCGTCTTGGACTTGGTTTTCGACTGGGCCAGAGCGTAGTGGAATTTTGGTTTTCGACCGGATCGACTGAACCACATTAATCGAAAACTACAAGTACACCATGCATTCAATACAAATTAACAATTCCAGCCCCTGACATCGACCACAAAATGTACTCCGTAAATAAATATAAGCCATCAGAAATAGACTGGGGATCACACGAGGCAATTCGAGATCTTGGAAGCCCTGACATTGAGGCGTCATTTCACCCCAACTGACAGTGTCAGGTGACGCGTGATTGATGTCTCGACTCCTCGAAAATATACTTTTCAAACACATCACAAAGACATCAGCATAACGCGGCTTCCGGTCGCAAACAGTATCTATATTACTCGTAAAAAAGTTATATTTTCTCACTTTCTTTCAAATTAGGATTTCAAATTGAAAGAAAGAGATGACGTACTTTTATATGTATATATTTACGAGTAAATGAAGTTTTTCGATATTTGTGCATTTCTATGAATGTTACAAGGTTCACAGGAAGAGTATAATATTTTTTTCTAGCTACTCAGACTAGCTCAGGCTGTGGATGATATGACATACATATAAACCTTTTCCTTGATTCATTCTATCTATTGCTAAAAACTGCATTAAAATCCGTAGCGTTGTTTAAAGATTTAAGCAAAGAGACAGCGAAAGCATCTTCATTTTATACTATCTAAAAGTTATTTGCCCCATATATGGAATAATTTTATGATACATACATATAACTGATATATCACAAACCATAAAATATCAATAAAAATAATAATCAATATCAATATATGACAATACCATATTAATTTCAAAAAGAAAATTACATTATTATCATGACATAATGTAACTATTCCTTTACATATACATAGTACATTTATGGTGTTTTCTCCCGCAACCAATTTGTTTCCTGCAAGTGCACTAACCCTACCCCCCTCCCCCAGGATATCCCGGACAGACCCCGAGCTGGACCTGGAAGGCTCCACACTCCTGGACGCCTCGGCAGCGAAGCACAAACGAGCAGTACGACCGAAGAAAAAACACCCTAAAGGGAAGGCGAATGGACTTAAGAAAGACGGAGAGAGGTTCGTATGTTGTCCTTTTATTGTAACTAATGGTCGCCCAGATGGTATAAAATTTTATAATAAGTTACTATAGGATATACTTGCCTTAAAAATAAATTTAAAATATCTGTTAAATCATATTTAGTGAGGAAAGCCTATAACTTGCTACACAATTACTTAAGTGACAACAGTGCATGGCAATAGTTGTTCATGCACCGGCTTTTCATTTAATGTTAGATAGACCTTCTTCTTAATTGAATCTATATTGAGCTGAACGATAGGTAAAATAAAATTTCATTTCGTTTATAAGTTAAAATGAATATAAAAGTCTTATATATAAAATTCTCGTGTCACAATGTTAGTTACCATACTCCTCTGAAACGACTTGACCGATTTATATGAAATTTTATATGCAAATTCAGTAGGTCTGAGAATCGGCTACTATCTATTTTCCATACCTCTAAGTGATAAGGGTTGTACACTCCTAACATTATTTTTTTTATTTTTGGGCAAAATTTTTTATTTATCTTTATTTATTATGTGTCATTAAAAAATACATACAACCCTAAATTTTCACCCTTCTATCACCAAACCCAATTTTTTTATAGCGTTATTAATTCATATGGCAAAACAACGTTTGCCGGGACAGCTAGTAACCTATATGAGTATGTTTTTAATTTATTTTTTTATATTGAGAGAGATTTCATTTAATAAAAGTTGCAGAACAAAGTAAAGATATAGTCCAAGCTTCGATAGGTGAATCTGTATGCTGCACTGGACGGCAGGGAATGAATATTAATACAAAAACTTGTCTTGACGTTCATAAGCGGCTAACATTTCCTACATAAATAAATGATTTTGGACTTGATTTGATTTGATAAAGCTAAAATATCTTAGATAATTGATTGATTTGATTTGATTTGATAAAAATTGTAAAACAATGTTGAGATATACTCCAACCTTCGTTAGGAGTGGTATTAATTCAAATAACTTGATCTATATAGGCAGTGTTCTTGAATATGATATCGTAATAAATTGCCGGGCAGATGACCGTGTTGTTTATTTTCGCCGTCTCCAAGAGCAAGTGCTATTATCTGGTCTATTGGACAATTATATAATGGTGATATATAGCTGACCATCCTAGAGGAGCGACCTAATTGATATTATGAAATTCGTTTATCTCATTTCAATGTTTGCTACGTCCTTTGCGTTTTCCCGTGGCGCTGTCTCTATTATATATATTTCTCAATATATTTAGGTTTATTTATTTATTTATTGTACAATACAGTAAAAAAGAAAGAATTAAAAAAAAAGAAAATTTGTTTATTTGGTACATAGCAATAATAAAAATATTTTTTTTAAAATTAGATTATATAGGTTTATATTAATTTTATAGTACCAAATAGGTATCCGCTCAGCATATATCGTGACGGGGTGCCACGCCGCTGATATTCTGCGGGTACCTTCGTAGATATAATAAATATAATAAAATAATAATACACATACATACATAGATCTAGGCGGATAACACAGAGTAAACATTTACGACATACTACCATATATAATACAGTGTTATATTGATCCTTATGATATAAGGTGACACCCTGCTCCCTAAATAGGAAAAATCCTGTATTTTAGGATAAGCAGTGCTCACTCCCGACAACACTACCGTGACACAGAGGATGTAGTATAAACTGTTGACCTGTGCTAGTTAATTTTACTTACATATATACAAATTTTAATTAAATTTTTTCAAGTGACTGTAACTCATTATATCTATTTTTTGTATTTTATTTTATAATTTTATTCTAGCTGACCCGTTTGACCCTACTGAATAATATTTGTATTAATTTTGTATGATAGTTTCTATTGGACTGGGCGTTTTATAAAAAAAAATAAAAAAAAAAGATTTTAAATCTTTCTAACAGTTGTTTAGTACTCAAAATACAAGCTCTGCTTAAATTGATACTAGATGGCGCTGTGTGAATTGCTCTAGGTTATTATTATCCATATATTAGAAGCAAAAACTTTGTACCCCTTTTTACAATAATTGTGCGAATGGAGGAGTATGTGATTTCGCACATTTATAGTTTATTTTGAGAAGGATGCAGAATACAATTTTTTTTTAAATAATGTTTGAAAATATATTAAATCAATAATAAAAATATTACACACATTGCCGTGTATTTGACACATAGGTATATATGTATACTCTTCTGTTTATTGTTAGAGTCTGTGGTCAAATTAGAATAGATTAATATTGTTTGTCTTTAATATTTGTCTATGGTCTTTCTGAATTAATTATGGTCTAATTTGGACAACTGGGCGACCACTAGTAATTGGTAATCTCCATAAAACAGTGTGTTTGATATCATGTAGGAATGTAATACTTAGATGTTGCTTTTTTTTAATTTTAACAATTTAAACACAGACAGACTGATTTCAGCTGATTCTTATATCTGTAGATATCTCCTGTAATGACATTAGTAATGTATTCCCCTGTGATGTGTTGACAGTAAAAAATACATACATGAGATACAACTCTACGAAATCGGTCAAGATTATGCTAAAATTTCGCACTGGTGACTAATGTTACACGTCTGCCTGTCTGTCAGTCGAGCGAATTAATTTCTTATATTCATTCGAAGATTTTATTTAATGTTCTGTTATCGAATTTATTTTTTAATAACTGCCAATGGTTTTTTGAAGTTTATTTACGCAACACATTTTTGAACGCACCCTGTTTGACAGGTATCAGCAGTTTGTATGGGAACATAACATTGTTGTTTTCTTAAATTTTACATGCAAATCTTCATATTTTATCGCCGTTTAAACCTTCCCTGGACTTCCACGGATATTTAAAGACTAAAATTAGCTAAATTGGTTCAGCCGTTCTCGAGTTTTAGCGAGACTAACGAACATCAATTAATTTTATATATATAGATAGATATAGATTAATATATCCATTTAAATCCGATCTCAAATGCATTTTGAAAGTTTTGTAACGTTATTTATACGTGAAGGAAAACTTTGTAGCCTTTTTTAGTTGTACCTCGTTTTGTACCCCTTAAAAAGGAGTATGGTAGGATCTAGCTGGTTAATCATATGGAAACTGTACTCGCGTCTGATGAAGGGTTCTTACCTTATTTTTTATTGATTTTTATCTAAAATAGCCATACACTCAATATCACACCCATAACCCCTGTAAATGGGGACACCCCTTGACGAAAAAAAATTATTTCTCTGTACCTATTCAAGATATCTTCATGAAATTGAAACCATATATGACTATCAATAAACTAATTATAATATATTTTTTTTATAATTTTTGCAGTAAGTGTAAAAAATTAGAACTGTATTTTTGGGGGTGGTTATATTTTGTGGTTACTTATACCAATTTTTTTGTGTATATTTTAGATATATAATATATTTATATACCTACCAGCTGTTCCCGCGACTTCATCCGGAATTTAACTTTATCATTCTAAAATAAAAGTAACATAAATGACTTCTTATTACATCAGCTACTTGCCGAAAAAAGTCCCGTCAAAATCCGTCCAGCCATTTCAGAGATAGCCGGAACAAACAGACAGACTAACTGACTGAGTTTATTTGTAAAATATATATATACAGGGGTAATGCCGGGACGAGTAACTAGTAAAGAACAAAAAAACGTTTAGTTGTATTGTAATGAACAAAGTATTTTTTTTCTAAATGTTATCAAAGTGCCTCCTGTTAGTTTTGGCAAAGAGAATATATACGAGTCTATATTTTTCATTGTGGACATATCATCCAACTCGGTGTAAAGTTATTCCAATACATCTTGTGGACGAAAAATTAATTGCTGTGCTGTTTTCGGGACGAGTAATTGGCTTTGCTCAAATATCTCATTGTGTCACATTCCTTTTATTTCATTAGAATTATATAATAACAGAACGCGTTTTGGGTGTGAAAGAAATCTGACCACACTAAAATTGTAATTGTTTGGCTGAAAGGAAGTTTCCAGGGCCGTAAATTACTTAATTACCGTAAATTTTCCCACGAGACTACAGCATGGGGTTTTTCAAGAAGGGTATATTAAGGTTTCTTACGGGTCGACAACGCGCACGTGATACCCCTGGTGTTTCAGGCGTTCGTAGGCTACGGTAACTATTTACCATCAGATGGGCCGTTTTCTTGATTGCCACTATCGTAGTATATTTTTTTTTTTTTTTAATTTTGTTAATTTTTCCACGTGATTTGATGGCTGTCAAATATAATAGCGAATATTTTATAATATACCTCATCATTATCATCAGCCCACTGTAGTCCACTGCTGGACATAGGCCTTTCCTAAGGGACGCCACTGGACACGATTTTCAGCCCTTCTCTTTTTGTTATTCACCACAACCCTATGTGTGTCGACGCTATAATATGCATATTATATAATATTAGCTTTTGCCCGCGGCTTCGCTCTCGTTAATTTACCCCCTTAGGGGTGGAATTTTCTTTCCAAACTTTCATCCCTTATTTAATCCCTTTGGGGGTAGAAGTAATCAAAATCCTTTCTTATCGGATGGCTACGTCATAATATCTACCAGCATGCCTCATTTTAGCCCGATCCGTCCAGTGGTTTGGGCTGTGCGTTGATAGATCACTACGTCAGTCACCTTTGCGTTATATGTATTTAGATAATATACACAAAGCAAGTTGCTGGCGGCAATATTAAGTCAGACAAAGGTATACACGTCGATGCCTTTTTACAGTCAACCTCAGTAAACTTTTATAGCTCCTAGAAACTTTACTATTTAAATATCATACAAAATAACAAAAAAAATTATCGACAGACTGACTATGCCGTAAACAGCGCAAGTCACCAACACGCGACTGTATTTGCCACAAAAGATCTACTTAGGTACATATGTATCTATTGTCGGGTAGATTACACATATATTACACTAGCTACTCGCTCCGGCTTCGCGTATATAAACCTTCCTCTTGAATCACTCTATCTATTAAAAAATACCGCTTCCAAATCCGTT